CCAACTCAAAAAAAAAAAAAAAAAAATTAGCTGGGCCAGGTTTAGTGGCTCAGCCTGTAATCCCAGCACTTTGGAAGGCCGAGGTCAGTGGATTACATGAGCCCATGGGTTCAAGACCAGCCCGGGCAACTTGGCGAGAACTCATCTCTAAAACAATTTTTTTAAAAAAACTAGCCAGGTATTGTAGTGTGCGCTTGTAGTTCCGGCTACTTGGAAGGCTGAGAAAGAAGGATCACCAGAGCCCAGCAGGTCAACGCTATGGTGGCCATGAGTGTGCCACTGCACTCCAACCTGGGTGACAGAGTTAGACTCCAACTTAAAAAAAAAAAAAAAAAATTAGGGCCAGGCTTGGTGGCTCAGCCTGTAATCCCAGCGCTTTGGGAGACCGAGGTGACCAGATTGCCTGAGCCCGCGGGTTCGAGACCCACCTGGGCAACTTGGCGAGACCTCATTGCTACAATAAATCAAAATGAGCCGGGCGTGGTAGTGCGTGTCTGTAGTTCCAGCTACTCGGAAGGCTGAGACGGAAGGATCGCTGGAGCCCAGCAGGTCGAGGCTGCGGTGGCCGGGAGCGGCCACTGCACTCCAGTCTGGGCAATAGAGTGAGACTCTAACTCAAAAAAAAAAAAAAAAAAAATCTACTTTGAAGAATACTCTCATAAAGCTTTATGGAGTCAGCACATTCTAGTCAAAACCAACAAAATAACCCTGACGATAGAAAGTAAAAAGAGCCGGGCTCGGTGGCTCAGCCTGTAATCCCGCGCCTTCGGGAGGCTGAGGTGAGTGGATTGCCTGAGCCTGTGGTTCGAGACCCGCCTGGGCAGCGAGACCTCATCTCTACGATAAAATAAAAAAATCAGCCGGGCGTGGTAGCGCATGCCTGTATTTCCGGCTACTCAGAAGGCTGAGGCGGAAGGATCGCCGGAGCCCAGCAGGTCGAGGCTGCGGTGGCCGGGAGCGGCCACTGCACTCCAGTCTGGGCGACAGAGTGAGACTCCAACTCAAAAAAAAAAAGAAAGTAAAAAGAATATTAGTTCAGCCTGGGCTACATAGCAAGAACCTGTCTCTACAAAGAATAAAAAATATTAGCTGGGCATGGTGGTGTGTGCCTATAGTCCCAGCTACTAGGGAGGCTGGAGTGAGAGAATCGTTTCAGCACAGGAGGTTGAGGCTGCGGTGAGCTGTGATTGGGCCACTGCAATCCAGCCTGGACAACAGAGTGAGACCCTGACTCAAACAAAAGACAACAGAAGCCGGGTTCGGTGGCTCAGCCTGTAATCCCGTGCCTTGGGAGGCTGAGGTGAG